AAAACTGCCACAATCACTCCCACCTTGAAAAAACCCTCCATTGATGCGTCGCAGCTATCAAGCTACCGGCTCAACTCCATCCTCCCCTTCCTGTCCAAGGGCCTTCAAACAGTTGTCGTCTCCCAGCTGCGCTCTTTCCTCTCCACCCATTCATTATTCGAACCCCATGAGTCGGGTTTCCATGCTGCCCATAGCACAGAAACTGCCCTGGTCAAGGTCATCAATGACATCCTGACCATCTGTGACCAGGGCTCCCTCTGCCTTCTCGACCTATAACATTCGATACAGTCGACCATTCTATCCTCCTCCACCTCTTGTCCTCTCACCTCAACGTTCAAGGCCCGGTCATTGAGTGTTTAGGTCGTACCACTCCCACCGTCTTCACTTTCTTTCCGCGAATGGCTTTTCCTCCAGTCCCCGCACTGTCTCGTGCGGTGTCCCTAAGGGCTCTGTCCTCGGTCCCCTCCTCTTCACCCTCTATATGCTTCCCCTTGGCGACATCATACGCAGACATGGGGTTAACTTCCACATGTATGCGGATGACACTCAACTCAACATTTCCTCCTCTACCCTCAACTCCACGACCCCCGATGTCCTGACAGCCTGCCTGTCTTACATCGAGTCCTGGACGAGAGATAACTTTCTTCTGCTCAACGTGCGTAAAACTGAGGCCCACCTGATTGCCTCGCTTCTGCGCCTCCGCAACTTAGGCGCCGACAGCATCAGCATCTGAGGCTGCACTCTCCACCTCTCAAAGCCAGTTACGAAGCTCGGGGTTCTGTTCGACCCTGAGCTGTCCTTTCTGCCTCATATCCGCGGCACAACTGGCACCGCTTTCCGTCACCTCCGAAACATCGCGAGACTACGGCACTATCTCACCCCTCACGCTGCAGAAACTCTGTCCACGCCTTTATCACCTCAAGGATGGACTATGGGAACTCTCTCCTCGCCGGCCTTCCCGACCCTCCCTCCACACTGCAGGTCATTCAGAACTCTGCAGCTCGTGTACTGTCCCGCACCAGGCTTCGCGACCACATCACCCCCACCCTCGCTCGCCTCCACTGGCTCCCCATCCTCCAGAGGATCGAATTCAAGATCCTCACCCTCACCTACAAGGACATTCACGGCCTCGCTCCCTCCTACATCTCCGACCTACTATCCCCCTACTTACCTGCCCGTACCCTCCGTTCCTCTGGCTCCAGTCTGTTCCACATCCCCCGCCCTAAACGCCCCACTGTCGGTGGCCGGGCCTTCAGCCTCTCAGCCCCTAGGCTCTGGAACTCTATCCCCCAGTGCCTTCGCCTTACTTCCTCCCTTTTCTTCTTCAAGGCCGGTCTCAAGACCTTTCTCTTTGACCGTGCCTTCAGCTCCCCTATCGACTCTCTACCCCCTCCTCGCTCCCTCCCTTCCCTCCCCTCACCCTGACCATTTCCCCCCTGCTCGGCTCCTGACCCAACTGTATAGCGCCTGGTACTTGAAGCATTGGAGAGAGGGTGCAAGTCGGAAGGATTGAGGTACAATATTCCAGAGTTTAGTAGCGTAATGGCTGAATGCACGACCTCCGATGGTGGGGCGAATAGTGCGAGGGACGGGAATGAGTCCATTGGATCGGAAGCGCAGGGTGGCAGATTTGTGAATGAGGAGGTCGCAGAGGTAGGGAGGTGACAGGGACTGAATGGATTTGAACAGAAGTGTGAGGATCTTGTGGCAATTATTTAATTAGAGCACAAACCCGGGGTCCAATTCTCGGCTTAAGAAGAGTCCACATTTTTGCCTCTTATTAAATCTCAGACAGAAACAGTCTCGCAGGCTGTCACTGTGGTTATTTTCCATGGTTCCAAGAATATAAGATTCTCGGCTTGATAAATTGGGGCAAAAACTACACAAAAATACAACAAAAAATTAAGGAACTTCTGTTGAAACTTCAATAATTGCTGGTTAGGTTACAGCGAGATTATTGTGCCCAATTCTGGTCAATAAAATTTATGGAAGATGCTGGTGCCTTGTAGATGGTGAGGACGACATTTACCAGGATGCTACCAGCTATGAGGGACATAGTTATGTGGAGAGGCTGGAGAAGCTAAGATCGTTCCCCTTAGAGTAGATATTTAAGACATTTGACAAAAGAACCAGAGGGGAGAAGAGGCGAATTTTTTTTATCAAAAGAGCAAGTAGGAATTCACTGCCTAAAGGGTGGTGAAAACAGATTCGACATTATCTTACAAAAGGGATTTATTTAGGTATCTAAAAACGAAATAAAAACACAACTGCATGTTTATGAAGTTAGAGCGGGGCATCGGGAAGTTTGGTAGCCTTCAAATGGCCTCCTTCTCTGCTGTAAATTTCTATTATTCTATGTAACAGATTAGGACATTGTGCCCAGTATCCCCCGAGTTCCTCCCTCTAATCCTTCCAATTAAACTCCCTTTATTTATCTTTAATCTCGCTTGCTGATTTACCTCTTTAACGGCTCTTAAAGTCACATTTCCCTCCCCCTGTGCCTTGCTTAACAGTCAATAGGACTCGTTGCAAAGCTCCCAGGCCCTATCCTGTGTGAAGGGAATTATATCAATGTAGGTTGTTGTTGTTGTAATAGTCTTTTTGATTGGATATTCAGGGGAGAACATTACGCGATGCATTCCATTACAACTGCAGCCAATTTTCCACGAGCCAGTGGCATAGGTAGAACCATAGAAATATCCAGCACAGAAGAGTACTATGGTCTGTGCTGCTCTATTAAACTGCGTTCGTTTCAGTGCTGTCGAACTGTCCGCAAGACGAAGCCCATCAACGTGCTATAGAGTATTCAGTTGTCGCTGTGGAACTTGATTGAATCATCCTAAGCATGATGATGGTTTTCACCTTCTGTCGGACACTGCGCTGACAAACTCTTCCTCTCTCTGAATTTTCCCAATTTGGTTGCCCAATGTACATGCAGATTAAAGTCATCCACAATTAATCGTTTTCCTTTGCTGCATGTTCCGATAATTTCCTGAGTTATACATTGAGAGATGTTGCGACTGCTGTTGGGCGGTCTGTAAACTAAGAACACACGGCATTTTGGGGTGAGAAATTCCAGATTTCAACATCCCTTTGAGTGAAAAAATGCTTCTTGATTTCACTTCAAAATGGCCTGGTTCTAATTCTAAGACAGCACCCACTTGTGTTGGATTCGCCCACCCAAGGAAATAGTGTCTCTGTATCTAACCGTTAGAACCCCTTTATCATCTTAAGTACCTCAATCAAATCACCCCTTTAACCATCTAAACTAGTGTGTCACCTTATCACTTCTCTGCAATATCTCAAACACTTGACAGAATGTATTGTGATTTGAATCGACTGTCTGTTTTGTAGGCGAAATATTCCGGCAAAGCTACCTTTTGGCTTCTCTTTGTGCTTCGCTTCGTTTAGTTTCCATTTTTCTCCCTGTCGTTATGAAACTTGTGACAGTTTCAAGCTTTGTAGAAAAAATATCACTTATTAACCATGTTTCCCACACAGTACATTTATAAGGGAATTCTTAATCTTGTGACCCTGCTGTGAAGTAAGGACTGACACCATTGTACAATTAAACAGGTTTACTTAAACTTAGATTACTCATGGTTATTAATAGAAATTATGACATATAACAATTTAAGTTGATTTAACCAGAATAGATGGAGTGAAATACATGAAGCGATAGTATTTGCTGTAGTTCCTCAAAGGTTCCACTCTCTCTGCTTCAGCGAGAAAAATATGTCATCACCGTCTCTCTGTAGAAGAATTAATCAGCACAAAGCAAGGCCAGGAACCAAGGCAGATGATAGGAGTGGAACACCTTTTAACCAATTAGGATAATCTGGTGAAAACACTCAATCATCATGAAAATCAAGTGCCCTGATAGATTCGTGGAGTCCTGTATCTCAGTGGTTAAAGCACTCGCTTTGCAAGTGAGAGACCTGAGTTCAATTCCAGTCAGAGGGCGAAACCTTGGGCAAGTTTCCTTATACCACACGCCTAACAATAATCCCTCCAAAACCAAAAACTATAATAAAAAATTGTTATTTTAAATCTACGACTCTTCGTGGGACATTGCTGTGCGTAATTGGCTGCCGCGTTCGCCAACAAATACACAGTCAATTCACTTTACAGTGTGTTCTGTGAAGCGCTTTGGGACGTCCTCCCGACGTGAAAAGCGCTATATCAAATGCAAGGATTAGTATTAGTTCAGCGATTCCAAACTCTTTTCGTTGACAGAGGGATTTCTGAGGAATTACTGGACAGCCTCTGTCTTCATTACGGAATTCGGTCCAATTCCCGCTCCTCCAGGAGCTCAGGGCCCCGGTGTCGTAGAGCATTCGTTATGCATCCCTCTCTTTCTCTCTCTCCCTCTCTCTGCTTCTCTCCCTCTCTGTCTCTCTGAGTCTATTAAACAGACAGTCTTGGGGGAGTTGCTCTCTCTCTGTCACTGTATAGCAAAGGGGTACGTCTGTCTCCATCACACCACACACCCTTCTCCTGCCATGTGCTGCCGTGCCTGGTCACCGCCTCAAAGGGTGGCACCAGGGAAACTCGTGATCAGTTCATGTTGCTTTTTCTTGTCAACATATTATATACCACACTAATTACAAAATCCATCAACAGAGAGAGAGATAGACTGTGCAAGAGATAGAAAGGGATAGACAGAGAGTGAGAGCGACTGAGAGAGGGAATAAGAGAGAAAGAAACCGAGAGAACTGTGTGACAGAAAGACTGACAGAGGAAGAGAGACAGACAGAGACAGATGGTTCGAGAGAGTGAGAGATAGAGAGAGAGAGAAACTAATAAAGAGAATCAGAGAGAGAGACTGAGAGAATCTCTGGGAGAGAGAGAAATACACACACAGTGACTCACACACAAACACAGTCAGGGCTTGTGAGTGTCCGTCTCTAACCATACTGTAGCAGTTACTCTGGACTGGGTCTCAGGGGCAGGTGTTTGTCAGGGCTTATATGACAATAACCAACACCAGACCAGGGATGGGAGAGGAATCAGGATTAACATCTTTAATAATCAATCATTACAGTGTCCGCAATATTTTCCATATTACACAGACTGCGTACAGTCACTGCCTCTGTCAGTGTCACACACTCACTGTCAGTCCAGCTCTGTATCCCCGCAGTGACAACAGCTGATTCTGTCCATCTGAACTGAATCTATTCCTCCACAGCCTGAAACACAATAAACAGGAAATCAAACCCATGGGATAATGATACAAACCGTAAGCTGTTCACATCTTTGCTCTATAAATCACATCCCCGCAAATTGTTTCCATTCTGATAACCAAATCCATTCTCTGTGTGTTTATCTCATGAAACACTGACACAGACACTCACTTGATCTCCTCCAGGCTGGTGCAGGTCAGTATGAGACGGCGGAGAGCGGGGACAGAGGCGTCTGTGAAGGAGTTGTAGACCAGGTTCAGGATCCTTAGTGAGCGGCTTGTACTGAGAGCGGAGACCAGATCATCAGTGCAGCCATCGGTCAGTCTGGTACTGCTCAGCCTGGAGATCAGAGACACAGAGACATAACAGGGAGTAGAGGAAACAAGCTGTTTCTTATCGCTTATTATACACCGTGGAGATGAGAAACACCGAGGTATAGCAGGGATTAAAGTAACAACAGTGTGTATATCCCACTGTATATCAGTTTTGACCATCACTCACGATCGCAAGAGGCGTTATGGGCCACAGCGGATGCAAAAATGGAAACGACTCTCAGGCAGTCCCTGCCCCCAGCGAGGGGGATTCAGAGGGGTTTCCCGTCATCAGTCTGGAAACACAGTGGGTTACTTACTCCAGAATCTGTATGTTACACTGCGGGTTCCTCAGAGCATCACACAGTCGCTTCACTCCAGAATCTTCCAGTTTATTACTATTCAGGTTCAGCTCCGTCAGTGAGTGGTTTGTACTGAGAACGGAGGCCAGATCCTCTGTACAATCAGCGGTCAGACTGTTATCCTGCAGCCTGGAGATCGGAGACACAGAGACATAACCGGGATCAAAGTAAACACAGGATCCATAACCCACTGTAGCTCACAACAGGCCATCAACCAGGGAAGGAGGAGGCGCCAGAGACCGCAAGAGGATATGGAGATGAAACAACCCAGAGACAGTCCCTGCCTCCAGCGAGAGGGTCTCAGGGATTTTTCCTAATATTGATGTATAATATGTGATATAATAACAGTTGCGTTTGAAACAATGCTTCATCATGTCTTCAAGACGTCTCTAATCAATTCCCAGTTATATACATTGAAGTGAAGTGAATTGATTGTGTAATTCGTGGGCGAATTATTTTGAAGGGATTCTTTCTACTGTAAAAGCAGTTTGTAAGCCGACTAGCAGCCGGATCCCTGTTGACTTCCAGTTAAACATAGGCGTGTGGAGTAAGTAAAGATGCACAAGTTTCCGACCTGCCGGGAAAGCAAACCCAGGTCCCCCTCGCTTGCAAAGCAATTTCTCTAACCACTGAGCTGCAGGACACGGACTGCGGGGCGTGAGCTGACACAGGGAGAAGCAGGTTGAATTTCCTCCGGGTATGTTTATTTAACCGTACATTTTGACTGTGTGGATGCAAAACAAAATCGCACCTGATTTATACACACAAAATATATTTCCGTACGTTAGCTAAAGCCTGTTGGAACTGTGGAAGGAATCCCTGAACTGAATGAGTTGTTAAGCACCTCGGGATTGATAAAGGAAGCCAAACACTTGTGTGAGTGAATCGCAGAACAACAACAACAAAATTACACTTGTAAAGCTACTTTTAGTTCGGCAGGAAGTCCCAAGGCGCTGAACAGTCAGGGATCAGGATCAGCGTTGGGGGGTAGGGATGGATGATGGAGGACAGTGGGAGTAGGAGGGCGGGGGCTGAAGTCACAGTCAAAAAGGAGGATCTTAAGTCGAGGGAGCGAGGCCAATTGATTGGGATAGGGTGATGCAAAGTGTTGGTGCAGAGAGGCTGAAAGCCTGGACGCCGATGGTAGCAGGTCGGGCGGGAGATATGGAGCAGGCCAGAGCCCGCTGAGTGGGGTGGCGGATAGATTGAAAGGAGGTCTGCAGTTCAGGGATGTTGCAGGTTGCAGGAGTGCAAGAATGCACAAAAATATACTCACGGACACACACAAATACTCACATACACAAACACATACTCACAAACACACACACAAACAAACAAACACATACTCACACACACAAACACACACACACACACTCACAACACATACTCACACACACAAACACACAAACACAAACACATACTCACACACACAAACACACACACACACACACAAATACATACTCACACGCACAAACACACACACACACATACACACACACATACTCACACACGCAAACACATACTCACACAACAAACATACACACTGACACACATAAACACATACTCACACATACAAACACAAACTCACACGCACAAACACATAATCACACACACGCTCATAGACACACATACATACATGACACACGGAGACACGGTGAGTTACTTACCTCAGTATCTGTACTTTACACTCCGGGTTCCTCAGAGCCACACATAGTCGCTTCACTCCAGAATCTCCCAGTTTATTGTTGTACAGGTTCAGCTCCGTCATTGAGTGGTTTGTGATTAGAGCGGAGGCCAGATCCTCGGTACATTCAGATGTCAGACTGTTATCCTGCAGCCTGGAGATCAGAGACACAGAGACATAACAGGGATCAGAAGAAACACAGTACCTATAATCAACTGTGACTCACTACACACCGGTAAACACGCAAGGAAGCGGCGCCAGTGGCCACAAGTTGATACAGAGATGGAAACAACCCTCAGACAGGCCCTGCCACAAGCGAGGGGTCTCAGAGGGCTTTACAGATATCAACATAGTTCAAGAGAGAAGTTTTGAGAAACTTCCATCACAGAGTCGCCCAGTCGATGGAAAGATTCCCCTCCCCTGTTGATGGAGACAAATTTTCCTGGGGATGAGGAAAGTCCGTCTCCATGGGATCAGTGGGCTTGAATGTGAGATCACCAGGAATGGAGTTTCCGAATGTAACGGAGCCTATGGGATGCTCTCTCGTCCATTCAGTGAGCCAAGCAGATCCTCGGTATTCCAAGGTCTGGCTCATTGGCAGGACATGGAATCACAGACCAGTCACTGGGGCATAGAGTTTTTAGTCTCAGCTTCTGTTAATCATAAAATCATAGCCCTGGCCGGGAGGGTGTTCAAGTAGGATAGGCGGTGGGAAGCTATCCACACAGTGATCAATAGATGAACATCCAAATGGTACATCAAAGCAAATTTATGGTCCAAATGCTTTGCCTCTTACTAATTAATGTGAGGCTTTCTGATGAGTGTTGAGAGTTTGATCTAAGCGATGACTGTGGGCTCACACTGTCACACCAACTCCTATCACAATATTTAGCTGCACTGGTCAGACAGCAACAATACCACTGTTGAGATATTGGACTCTTGCAGACTCTGGAGGTACAGTGTGTTACTTACCTCAGTGTCTGTAACTTACACGCCGTTTTCCTGAGAGCCGCACACAGTCGCTTCACTCCAGAATCTCCCAGTGCATTACTCCGCAGGCCCAGCTCCGTCAGTGAGTGGTTTGTGCTGAGGACGGAGGCCAGTGCCTCGGTACAATCAGCTGTCAGATTGTTACTTTTCAGCCTTGATATCGAAAACACAGAGAAACAACATGGATCACAGGAAATTCAGTATTTGTTGGTGCTTACTATACAGCCGGGGAGATCAGAGAGACAGAGAAATAACAGGTACCAGAAAAAAGAGTGTTTATTATTGTTTACTATATAGACATAGATCAGAGACACAGACACATGACAGGGATCAGAGTAAACCCAGTGTGTATAAACCACTGTAGTTAACTGCAGGCTGTCACCCATGGAAGATGTGCGCGCACACACTCACACACATGTAACTATAAACACACACACATATGTACACATAAACCCACAAACACAAGCATAAAAAACAACACAAACACATGCGCAGAGAAACACGCACAAAAACATCACACGCACATTTATACACACACCTAAACACATTTAAACATGTACATCCACAAGCAAGATACACACAAACACTCTGAAACACACACCGCACATACACAAACCAACAAAGGCACACACAATATACACACATAAACACGAACGGAATCATAAAAGGACATACATACGCAGACACAGTTTCACAAAAATATAAATATAAAATAAACACAAACACAAACCGAGAAACACAAAACACATACATACGCACCGCACATACGTACATACACACAAACAAACACCCACACCATACAGACACGGATAATCACATATTCGCACAATCCAACAGATATATACACACACATAGAAACATACAAACACACATACAAAAGACACACAAAGCAACATACCCAAAGCAACACACACGAACATACACAAACATACATTCACACACAAGCACACACATAAACACACATACACTATGCAGCCTTGCCTCTTGCCAACTTGCTCCTAATAATGGGGGATGAGGTGAGCTGAGTGTGTCCCACAGGGGAGAGAATGTGCCTCCATTTCAATCACACAATCTCCAGTCACATGTGTACCTATCAATAGGTTGGTTTGGAGACTGTTCAGCATGATCAGATGCTTCTGTGTATGTCAGGCACACGGCTGGTAACACAACTGCAAATCCAGAACGTGTGGAGGGATTAGCGGGACCACGGCAGGAGCTTTGGGATTAAATAAAGTTGGAGATGGTTTGGGGCTTGGGCGAGATTTGCGATCGGAGCTGTGACTGTTCACATGTCACTGCAACTGGCGTTTCATCTTAGCAATGAATGTCGATGCATTGAACTAAAAGATGACTTGTGACCTCACACTTTCACACCGATTCCTGTCACAATATTCATCCTCACTGATCGGACAGTGAGAATAAACTCATTGCAATATTTGAGTCATTCAGAGTCTGCAGACACTGTGAGTTACTTACTCCAGAATCTGTACTTTACACTCCGGGTCCCTCAGAGCCTCACACAGTCGCTTCACTCCAGTGTCTCCCAGTTTATTATTATTCATGTACAGCTCCGTCGGTGAGCGGTTTGTATTAAGAGCGGAGGCGAGATCATCGGCACAATCAGCTGTCAGTCTGTTATCCTGCAAACTGGAGATCAGAAACACAGAGAAGTAACAGGGATCAGAGAAAGCGCAGTATTTATCATTATCTGTCACACAGCCTGGAGATCAGAGACTCGGAAACATAACAGGGATCAGAATATTGTCTACTGCTACAAACACTGTGAATGTATTGGGCAAATGAAATGTTTTATTCTTGTTATTACAATGTCGCTGTGTGTGGATCAGACACATACATGAAAGATTGCAGTTTTGGGTGTTGGTTGGTATAATTCGAGGCTTAGGGACGCATAGAGTCTGTTGGGCGTGGGTGGTGTGACTGCTGGAGCTTAACCAGATAAAGATGCAAACGACCCCTGTGAGAGCTCTGTCTGGGAAACATCTCACTGTTTTCCGGCTCGGATACCATTCCAACCTGCAAAACCTGTATCTGACAGGGCGTAACAGGAGCTGAGAAGAATCTCTGCTCTAACTCATTTCACCCTCACTTCCTATCGCTAAACCGGTCCTTGTAGCTTTCAGGATCTCACAGCTCGGGATATAATTTTCTGTGTTCAGACAGTAAATGACACCAAGTCAACAGTGTGATACTTACCCCAGGCTCTGTATTTTACACTCCGGGTTCCTCAGAGCCTCGCACAGTCGCTTCACTCCAGAATCTCCCAGGTTATTGCCTCCCAGCCTGGACACACAGAGAGAAGAGGGTCGGTGAATATAGTATGACAGTACAAAACAAATTGCTATGTTTATGAAGTAGCCTTTCACATGGGAACATGAACAAGGCGCTGAGAATAGGGTCAGACACACACGAAGGATTGCGAGGCCACCAATCTCTATGAAAACAACATCTAAAAAAAAATTCCCTTTTTAGCATACCAAAGCGCTGGTCAATGAGGGGTTAACACCCGAGCCGGGCGGTGGGATCAGAGAGGGGTGGAGAGCAGGGGATTGGTTTGGGAGGAAGACGGAATCACAGTCAAACGGTAACATCCTGAGAATGGCTTATCACCTTCCACAGGCCGGTATCCAGAACACATTACATCAATGCAAGTGACCTGAATGTGAGGACAGGACATTGGAACCAGATAATAATATAGAAGGCTGTTCAGACCTTGAGTAGACGGGCCACATGCCGTCAGGTTCACCGAGTCGAGTGAGCGAGTGTGGTCAATCAGTGAGTGGCTGGACTGAGTCTCATCCTCCAAATGATGGACACCATCTCCTGCCTGTTGGGGTCTCATTTATTTGACAAGGAACGTGTGCACATGGGTATAAAACTGTGAGGCTACCTGCCTCCAGGCCATTCACTCTGGGCTTGAGGGAGGAGGACCTGAGGCCTGGCCGCATGCCGAGGCTGATGTGGAGAAATATTTTCAGTGTCTTCAGTGCTGGGCTGAGCAGACTGATGTGAGGACGGCGGGGCAGCACAGGGGTACTGTGAGGGGGAGCATGGGGAAATGAGAGGATACCGACCCTGTCTATTATCTATCAGAGACCATGTTGTGTGCGCGCCTAAGGCCACTGGATGCCATTCAGCTTTGTCTCGGGTGATTAAACTGCTCAGTCTGTTACTTACTCCAGTCTCTGTATTTTACCGTCCGGTTTCCTAAGAGCCTCACACAGTCGCTTCACTCCAAACTCTCCCAGATTATTGTACTTCAGCCTGGACACAGAGACAGAAACACAGTGGATAGAGTGCAACACTGCAATACAAATTGAGATCTCTGTGTCCCACGGAGCTGGGACTAGTGTCAGGCACATGCGAAAGTTTACTCATAGAGAGCTTTCCTAATTCTCGGTAGATTCACACAATAGATGCCATTTAACGTTACATTAACGTAGGATATTTGTAAGCGGCCACCATTATCATGGCAAACACAAAATATTCCAGTTTTTAGCACCTTTCATGTGGCAAACACAAAATATTCCAGTTTTTAGCATACGTCCCAATGCGGTATGTAGGACTTGTCCCCATCTTCCAATGCGCTGAAACATGACGGACTTGTCCCCAATCTCTGAGATGGGATCAGAGAGAGTTGGAGAGCAGGGGATACGGGAGTGAGGATGACCGAAATTTCGTTAAAAGAGGAAGATTTTCAGACTGTCTTTGAAGGCAGGGGGCGTGTGACACGAGAAGGCCACTGAGGGTGGAGGACCTGAGGACTGCCCGTATGCCGAAGGCAAGTTTGATGTGGAAAAACAGCGGAGGGAGTGGACAAGTTGTTAAAGTTGGTAAACACCAGTTCCTCCCTTACACAAACCACAGTGATGCAGGAACATGGTTTGCATTTCCTGCCAACTCTCAGCCTTTCTCCAACTCTGGTTTAAGGAGTTCAGACCCCACAGCACTCACTTCCCGCACTCAACAGCACTCACTTCCCGCACTCAACAGCACTCACTCCCCGCACTCAATGGCCGTCTCCTCCGGCCCATGTATCCCGGCCACAGGATTCCATTGCCTGTACTCAGGGCAGACAGTGCACCGATTGCTGCCATCCAGAGCAGAATAGACTTCCTAGGAGCTCCGTCAGCCCCTGTGTGTAACACAGTAAAGGGTGATTGATCACTCCCCCAGTACAACACCAATTTCCCAGTTGATGCTTTCTGCACTGTAAGCATTCATGACATCCAGGCTTGACAAATGAAACTCCCTTCTTGTCGGCCTCTCCAACTCTTCCATCCATAGTCTTCAGATCATCCAGAACACTGCAGCCCATTTCTTATTGCGCAACAAGCTCCGTAACTCTATCTCGCCCATCCTTACCCGATTCCGTTTGATTGATATCACAGATAGGATACAGTTCAAGTTCCTGGTCCTCTTTTTCAAAGCCCTCCATTAACTGTCCAACCTCCAACCCCATACCTACGCTCAGCGAACTCGGGAATGCTTCACGGCCCCCGCCTCGGCCGCTCCACGAATCGTGGGCGGGCCTTCAGCCAATATGCCTTCACCGTCTGAAACTCCATCGCACAGTCTCCCTGCCTCATCGCCTCCACGCATCTTTAAAGGTGCCTCAAAACGCCTCCTCTTCGATCGTGCATTCGATCACCGTACGTTCCCCAATTTCCTCCATCCTCCCCAATCCCAAACCCGAGCCTCGGGTACGAAACCTTGACTGACAGCGCCTTGGGACTTCCTCCCAATGTTAAAGGCGCTACACAAATATAATGTTATTGTTGCTTTTGCTGCAAGTCGTCAAGCTTTACAGGCCCACCGCATAGGTTACCAGCCTTCGTGACTGCATGCAATCAGAGTCCGTTATAACATTGTACGTGGCCAGGGAGTGAGGAAAGGGAAGTGGGATCAGCTGGTGCTATGGACGGCTGCTCATGCCATGGGAAGCCAGGCCACAGGCTGTCAGGCTCGCAGTCAAGCGAGCGAGTGTGTAACCTTCACAAGCACCCAATGGCTGGAGGGAGTCGCTTCCTCTCATTGATGGACACCAGCTACTGCCTGTTGGGTGCCCAGCTGGTTGACAAGGGGAAGTGTGTGAGTGTGTATAATGCTGTGAGTCTGACAGTCTCCACGACATTCACTCTGGGGCTTGGGCGAGGAGAAAACTGACCACAAGTTCAGGTCAGGTCTGTCGTGGAGAAGCTTTTTCAAAGACTTGATAGACTGATGGATGTACCAAGCTTCTCTGCATGAACAGCTTGCATTTCGTCTATTCCAGCAGCACTGTACCACTGAGTGGGTGAGTGAGGCTAATGTCTTGGCTTCTGCCATCACGGCCTGTTATCCCAGACACAGGGTAATATTTGTGTCTATATTCTCTTGTTCTCCAAAGATTGTGAGCTCCAGACCCGGAAAACCCAACCACTGTGGCTGGTAGATCTAAGGAGCTGGAAATGGAGACTCTTAACCAGAGAGGGTGGAAATTGCATCTGTCAGACTGCCTTCAGTGTGATGGGCATAAGTTTGTATTGAATTATATTGCAATGGATTCCTAACTAGTTTATTAGAGAAAGTACGTAGCTGCTCCTGGAAAAAAGTGGTGCTCGAGCCCTCAGAAGGTTCATTGGCCCTGGAATACAGCACGGCGAGGCGCTGCTGCCGGGGGGAGAAGCAAAGACTCCGGCTTAACTACAAAGATTAGGAGAGTGATTCCTGTGGGCATGCGCTGGAGGGAAATTTCGAGGATTGGAGTTTAGAAGCGTTTCCAAGTGCCAGAGACGTTGTGTTCACGAGAACCATTCCTGGATGGAAAAAGCAGAACTGCTGAATTACATCTCTGAGTGCAAGCGCCATTCTGTCTGACCTGCTTTTACCTGAGAATATAGAGAATAAGATCAGTATTCCAACAGGGTGTCAGGAATCATTCCCAATAACATCAGCAAGATGCAAATGTAACCAAAGCGGTCAAGGTGTTGACCAGGCAGGTGCGCAGTGAAATGTGAGCCATTCACTTCACATTACCCCAGTGCAGGATTGTGGTGTCGTGACTTTCAGCATCGTGTCAGCCAATGTTCGCCTCCTGCGGTGTAATACATTTCTCCCATTGATCAGCTCGCTTTTAATGCCAGCTAAGTGCTGTAGATGGCTGTGAAATGGGAAGGATAATAGTTACAAATGATATGAGCAAACTTACCACAGCTCCTGACACTTGTGCAGAGCAGGAACCAAACGCTGGAGTCCCTCATCCTGGATGTAGCAGCTGGTCAGGTCCAGTAGATTTATTGTGTCACACAGACCAATGGCCTGACACAGCACGACACAGTCTATGGGTGCCAGTCGCAATGCTGTTTCTGGAAAAGGATCACCTATTGTGAGTGTTTGTACACTTCCCAATGTGAGATGTGCCAGGGCTTGATTCTGAGATTCAAACAGGTAGTGGAGGGTGTTGAGCAGCTTCCGTTTCCCAGTAACTGTCTTTGTATCTCCCACTTGAGCTTTAACCTTCTCCTTCAGCCAATCGATTACCGTGCAGGTTGTCTGATGGACAAATGGGCCCAGAAGATCCTCCAGTGGCTGAGCTGCCCGTGGGGAGGAGAGACCCGCAACAAAGCGCAGAAATATCTCAAACCGACCGTCCTCCACCCTTTCAGCATCATCCAGACATATTCTGATGGTTCTTGGATCTGGACACAGGAACTCATCGAGTGCCGCTACAAACTCCTGGATGGTGAGGTGCGGGAATGTGTAGAGCAAACAATGCTCTGAATTCTCTCTCTCCACAAGTTCCGTGAGAAAGCCAGAGAGGAACTGGGATGGTTGGAGGTCAGACTGGATAAGATCTTCATTACTAAAGACAATGTTTCTCTGGGAGACGCCTTTTAAGGCCATGGCACCAATCTTCATGATCACATCACGGGGGATTTCCATTTCTACAGTGTGATGTTTTAGAATATGGTAAATATAATAGGAGAAGAGTTGTGTTATTGTCGTGGGAACTTGCTGTTTGTTGCTCTGTTTCCGTGTAAAGAAGGGACGCAGAGACAGAGCGAGGATCCAGCAATACGACGGGTTGTAGCACATGGTGAACAGGAGCTCGTTATCCTCCACGTGGCTGTAAACAGCAGCCGCCACCCCCTGATCGTCAAAGAACTTCTGAAAATATCCCCTTCTCTCTTCACCTACAAATCCCAGGATTTCAGCCCAGACACTGACCTGAGCCTTTGCCAGTAAATGTAAGGCAGTGGGGCGACTAGTCACCAGCACTGAGCATCCTGGCAGCAGCCTTTTCTGTATTAAACTGTACACAATGTCAGACACCTCACACCAGAATTCAGTGTCTGAGCACATGTGTTGAGGCTCTGTTGCTCTCCGTTTGTCAGCGAAATCAATCCCTGCCCTGAACTCATCCAAACCATCAAATATAAACAACAATCTCTCTGAGTGTTTCCACAGCTCCTCCAGCGCATCCCTGAGGTAAGGATACTCATCCAGGATTAGTTGCCTCAGGGTTATTCTGCAGTTAAGAGTGTTTAGGTTTCGAAATTTAAAAATAAAAACGAAGTGAAACTGAGGATAGATTTTTCCTGTGGCCCAGTCGTGGACAATCTTTTGCACCATGGTTGTTTTTCCAATCCCTGCTACTCCACTCACGACTGTGGAAGTCCCTGCGGGAGTGTTAGAACCGCTTCCCTGGCAGGAAAGTAAATGACTTCCTTTCGTGAAGCTGCTGTGGAACAGTTTATCAGTTCGGATTTTTTCCAGCTCTCCCCGGAGATGCTTCTGCCTCCACTCCTCGTGGTCTCTGCCTCTGGCCAGCAGCTCATGTTCGACCAGTTTGCGGTGACGGAGATCAGAAATGATTGTTAACTCAGTGTAGCGATCAACCAGTTGAAACTCCTTCACCTCCTCCTTTACCAGGATGGTCTTCACTTCCAGTCTTTCGAATTGTTTCTGTAACGACTCCTTGTGCAGTCGCTGGAATTCTTCAATCATAGCATTCACACATAAGGTTATTCACAGCACCGAGCAAACGGCAGATTCTCAACATTGCAGGAATTTTGAGTTGGAACGGTAATGCGAACGGTGGAGACACATTTACAGAGCTGGAATTGAGAAGCGCTTTTAACACAGATAGATGCACAGATTGTTCACGGGGGAGGTGCGCATTAGAAGGAGTTTCATTAGTCACAGGGAGAGTTAGGAGTGGAAGTGTGTTAGCATATCATGGTGAAAGTGTGCATCTTCAAGCCAATCGCTTTAGTGTGTGTAGGGATGGGGTTGAATTACGGATGAGTTGTAAACTGGAAGATGTTAAACCTGGAACGGGTGTCAAGCAGAGGAAAAGCAAAATCAAATTGATGTCCCCTCCCGTTTCCCTGCAGGATTATTTTTTAGCTTCTGAAAATCTCAGATAATGTGGCAAAAAATTCAAGCTCTGCATTTCACAAATGAATCCATTGGTTTCACCATGAGCTGATCACATACCTTCCACATTGCTGTGTACTTTTGGTACACGTCGGTCAATCATCACATGGTTTACTAGACTGACACCTGTGTGTATAGAATATTAGTTTCAGCGAATGACGTATCGCGGCAATTTCTGTATAATGCGTAATTGATTTGGGAATCGATCCATTATAAAATACACGCTACCTTGCACCTGTATTTCAGTTATTATTTTCTGCAGTTTGGGTAAACTGTGTTTCATTTCCACAAAGGATTCCCACGGCAATCTCTGTGCCCGGGAACCTTTCCCCAGCACCAGGTTCAGAAGAAGTTTGGAGCTTTTTCTTTTCCGCCCATTGTGTGTGAGCTCAGTGAGTTTCTGCAGAGAGTGAGCATAAGTACATTGAAGAGTGCAGTGAAAAGTGAGCTCTGCTTGTGATCAGGAAATGGCGAGTTTCATCATGGTGTGGTCATGCCGGTTGAGATCCTCCAGGCCAAGATTGCCCCTCGATACTCGCCCCAATTGTCATTGTTCACATGTGACACATGGCAGTGAGTTTACTGAAGAGTAAACTTCTAACTGTTGTCTCCTCAAACACCGCCTGTCAAACACCGTGAGCTGGAGCTTCAGCCACTGCACCATCGGGAAAGTTTCCAAAGGAACAAACGTATAGCAAGTTTTCACAGTGACGTTTAACATTGATTTCTTGCATCAACCTGGAGTCCCTCCAACTCCTTCCCCCCATGCTGGAGTAACTATCACTCGCTCCCTCACTTCCTGTGCTCAAACCCGCTTCTTTTACCTTGTGTTCGGTTTACTTTACCTCACCACCCTCTCCAGGTCTCGGTCCAGATCGCATGCCCAGCTGTCATTGCAAAGCACTTTGAGTGTCTACCCAATGTGAAAGATGCAATAAAAATGAAGACTGTAATGTATTGTAATAAGTTGAATTGAAACACTTTGCACAACGAACGCTCAGACATATATCACATAGGATTAGAAGGTGGAAGTCCAATAAAATATGTCCATCTGACCACTTACTTGATGTTCCTGCTGGCTGAAATATTTCTTCCTTGTCAGTATTAAGCTGACAGCCTCCACTTCTTCCTCAATGGCCTGTTCTATTCTGTCCCGGTAGAACTGAGTAAGTTTGAACAGTTGGTATCCGTTGTACATGGCGAGCGTCTCGTAGAATGAATCATTTAAACCTATCGGACACAAGTCAGATATCACAATTAATTTCATAACATAATAACGTTAATAACGTAAACATGTTTCATGATTCATCACTATGTGCAAATGCAAGCATTATATTACGATTATTATGATATGGCATCTTGGATAAGTGGCAGCTCATTCACCACTGAATCTGAAAGTTTGACGTTCAAGTCCCACATCAGGAATTAAAATTAACTTGTCTAACCTGAGACTCCAAAGCGACAAACGGATGTCTCAACTGATTTTTCGGGTGGATGTTAATAATAACGTGTCGCTATTCCAAATTGGAAGGAAGTTACACCCACTGCCCTGGTCAACAATCCCCAGAACAAAATTAGTCACTCACTCCATTGCTGTTTGTGGGACATTCATAGAATCATCGAATTCGGCAACTGAGAAGGAGGCCATTGGACCTATGGTGTCTTTCAAAAAAGAGCTGTCCAAACATATCACATTCTCCCGAGCTCTCACCATAGACGTGGAATCTTATCCTCCCCAAACAATTATCTACTTGCCTCTTCAATGTTGTTAACGGATCGGCTTCCATCCCATTTCTGGCAATGGATGGCAGATCCAAACAACTCGCAATGTGAACAAGTTGACCGCGTTGCTCATTGTTGCACCAAATGGTTTCGCTCACACAATGCACAGTGAATGCACACTTTTGCAGTATTTCCGCTTTCAGATGTCTTGATAGTGTAACAAATCGCAATAAGTAATGGAAGGATCATTATTATTCTAAACGGTGGACAGCTCCTGTTACTGTATCAATGTGAGTGGATTTTATGAACTTGCCTGTCTCAGTTTGATGCACTTCATGAGCTGTCGGTGGTGTGTCAGGATTGAGAGCATGGGCCATGGTGATTCCAGGTGTTCAACACACCAGCCTCTCCCCACCCTTCTACCCCCACAAATCACCTGTGAAGTGAAACAGATAGTAATGAGATGTATCCTGATACAGCGTTCAGATCGTCACATAACAACACAGGGAATGGCTGTCCAGTTTGATTAGTTGCCAACAGTTTGCAAGTAAATGAGGAAATTAGTTCAAACATTTTAGGTTTGGATACTGGAGGAACTGATTCTGAAATCTCAGATCAGCGCAGAGAGGACTTATCTTTGGAAGGACGACGATTTGAACAAAACAGACGCTCCCAGTACTCCTCTGATAGTCATCGGGCGCTAACAAACACACACATACACACACACACACAAACACACAGAACTCCGTCACCCCACCCACTCACCACCACCACCACACACACAGCACGACTATGCACACAGACAAACTCAGCCCCCAACAAACGCACATCGGCGCCCACACACAACCCCACCACAGAGCACCACGCATACAGTCAACAAACATACAGCACCTCACGCACAGTCAAACCACACACCTGCCCCCACTCACACAGACGCCCCACACACCGAACCCGCTCAGACAACCACCCCACACACACACACACACACAGAGCACCGACACACAGACACCCAACACACAGACAACCCCACACACAGATCCCCCACACACAGACGCCCCCGCATCACCAACAGACACCATCATACACACAGACCTCACACGCACAACACCCCTTCCATAGATACACATAACAAGCCCCAACCGCAACCCCCCACACACCAGTCCCCACACACAGCCCCCTCCAAACATCCCCACATACAATTGTGCATACTCAGCCACCTACATAAATCCACATGCACAGCCCCTCACACAGCGTCCCCCCCAAACACGCCTCACCACTCACACACACAGCCACCGCCACAAACAGAACGCCCACACACAGACGTCCCGCAGACTGCCCCACCCACATACCCACATTACACAGCACTCCACATACAGCCACCCACCTACAGCCCCAACATCTGACCACACACACAAACTTCCAAACAGCATCTCGCAAACTCAAACACAGCCTCCCACTCACATAAACGTACACCCAGTACACTCATCCGACTCACACAGACCTAGTCCCCATCCCATACACAGCTCCCTTACACACATGCACGCCCATCACACGCACCCCCCACACACAACACTCTCCCCACACAGAGTCCCCCACCAAACACAGTATTCCCCACCAAGCACAGAGTCCCCACCAAACACAGATACCACACCAATCACAGATACCCCACCAAACATAAAATCCCCAACAAATACAGAGTCCCCGACCAAACGCAGGTGCCCCACCAAACACAGAGTCCCCCACCCAACAAATACCCCACCAAACATAGTTACACCACCAAGCACAGAGTCCCCCACCAAAAATAGTCTCGCCAACCATACACAGAGTCCCAGACCAAACATATTGTCCCCCCATCAAACACAGATACCCCACCAAATACAGGCTTCCACACCAAACACAGATGCTCCGCCAAAAACAGATAGCCTACCAAGCACAGATATCCCACCAAACACAGATATCCCACCAAACACAGTTAGCCCACCAAACACAGAGGCCCCACAAAACACAGATACCACATCAATCACAGATACCCCGCCAAACACAGGGTCCCCCGGCAAACACAGATTCCCTCATCAAACGCAGATACCCCACCAAGTAAAGAGACCCCACCCAATGATAGATACACCACCGAATATAGAGTACCCCAACAAACACAGATACCCCACCAAACTCATTTAGCCGACCAAACACAGAGTACCCCACAAAACACAGATACCACACCCATCACAGATACCCCACCAAACACAGAGTCCACCACCAAACACAGATGCCCAACCAAACACAGATACCCTCCCAAATTCAGAGTCCCCCACCAAACACAGTGTCCCCCACCAAACACAGGGTCCCCCAACAAAGACAGAGTCCGCCAACAAATACAGATACCCCACCAAACACAAATACCCACCAAACACAGACTTCCCCAAACGAAGTCACCCCCACACAAACAACTCCAGCCCCAAAGTACTTCATTTAAACACTCTGTTCTCGGTTCTCTTTTTATGCCTGTGTGGTAGAGTTTCTGGAATCTTCCAGCACGTTTCTGCTTCAGTTGAGATTTGAGTAGTTTAAAATGTTTCAGTAAAATCACTCTTTGCCTTGAATGTAAACACTGCCAGTTTCTGCATATCTTGCCCTCTACTGGACCTGAACCCAGACCGCTACTGTGGATAGACCATATGGTATGATGCCCGAGGGGAGGAGAGCAACTCCTCACCTTTCAGTCTTGAGAACCAGCTGCTGTCTGGCTGCTGTTTGCCACCTGAAACCTTTCGGAAACCTGACTCTCACTAAAGGCATCGGCGCTTTTCGCAGAATTTTCTCCACCCATCTGACAAGTCACTGCGTGTATAATTTGTGATAGCGATGTTGTCAGCACTAAGTTGGTTTCAGTAACAAAGGTTAAATATATTCAATAGTTGACGTGCGTTCCAACATGCACCTGTTAACAGTTTACATGCTGGTCTGTACTTGGCATATGAGCAAACACCAGGCGATAAAAGTATCACAAACTGACATAAATATTCAACACCGCTTCATTGAGCACCTCAGATAAACTGTGCTTTAATTTTCTGCCTTCAATTTTGTTCTTTACTATGGCAATAATGTTTCTGATGTTTTGTTTTCTGTTCCCTCCTGTGGGTTCTCTCCTGCTGGACAAGTAAGCGGCCGCTCTCAGGCTGTTTATGATTCAAAACATTCCTGAAATATGACTCCCACAACAGGGAGCGGCACTTGTCAGTAATGTATGTCTAACCAGTCGAACTGGTTTCTTTGTGTTTTATTTACTGACAGAGCTGATGAGTTATAGAGGAGTCCACTCAGAATCAAAGAAATACAAAATCCTTTTATTTTTTAATCTGACCCATCTTTGCAACTCCGTTTCACTGTCGTTTTCCTTCATTCGCTCACTTGCCTCCTTCAAGGTACGTTTGAACGAACTCCTCTTCGACCTTCATTCACCATCATAATAGAGGCAGAATAGGACGGTTAAGTGTAAGGCGAGTGCAGCCAGTGAGTGGGTAAGACTGGGGGAATGAGACAAGTTGAGGTAAGAGCCGTGGAGTTGGGCTAGTTGAGACAGGAGTGGGGGAGTGGGTTAGTTGAGATAAGTGCGAGTGAGTGGGACTAGTTGGGGTAAGAGCCGGAGAGTGTGGCTATTTGGGATAAGTGGGTCAAGTTGGGGTAAGTGTGAGTGATTGGAAGCAGTTGGACTAAGAGTGGGTGAGTGGGACTAGTTGGGGTAGAAGTGGGTGAGCGGGAATACATGGGGTAAGAGTAGGTGATTGTGACCAGTTGGTGTAAGAGTGGGTGAGTGGGACTAGTTGAGATAAGAGTGGGTGAGTGGGACTAGTTGTGTTGCTGACGGCATGGTAAGTAAAGGCATGTGGAATATGGAAAATTTACAAAATATCAAACGGACCTTTAAGTGATCCCAGGTCTCTTGCTTGTGAAGTAACTGCACTAACCATTGAGGTACGTGACTCCATGACACTTTGATGCGGCGACCCAAAGCTCCTATCTACACTCGTGACACAGAACCACAACATAAGATACCGAAGTGCGAGAAGGTTCAAAGAATAACAGGAGGAGAAGAGAAGATTTAGCAGATATTTGCTCAACAATGACCACTAGGATATGCTGAGCTTCTCCCCAGGTTGACCTGTTCCCCAGTGACAGGAAAGTACCAGCTCCTTCAACAAGCTCTCTCCTAACCACAAATCAGGAGGCACTACCTGGTCTCTCCCAACCAACTGGCACCAAGTTTTTTTTTCATGTGACCAAGGCAGGTTACATGAAGGTGTAGAGACGATCATATCAGTGTGACCGGCAACTTCATGCAGCTGCCTATTTGACTCTGGAATAATCTTGGAATTTGGAAAGAGAGAAAGAGAGAGGGAGGAGTGACAGAATGTGCATCATAGTGAACGAGAGCGAGCAGAGATAGAGAGAGAGGACAAGTGAGGGCAGCCTTTTGTGGTCCAGTATCAGGAAAGCTGATTGGAGT